TTAGCAGTCAAATGCGGATGCAACAGATTTCTGGTTCTATTTCTGCCTGAAAAAGCCCAGCGCCCACAAAAGCCACACAGATCCAGGAGGTAGATGCTTCTCTGCCTGTAATCGTTAATTAAATACAGAATGGTAAGATTACACATTTCAAGTATGCAGTTCAGAAACCTTTATCACAGGGGGGAGGGGAGGAAAAAAGAAAAAAAAAAAAGTCTTAACCCCCCCCAACACCCTAACTGAGCTCTTCTCAGGAAAATGCAAGATATGGTAAAATCCCCCTTTTTTTTTTTTTATGAAAAGGGGCTCCAATCCCTCTCTCCCTCTTCCCAGAAAATGTCATTAATTTATAGGCAATTTCAGATACCTTTCTTGCTTAAGCTGCTTATGCTGTCCATCATGAAGGAAGATGCATGCTTAGCAGTTAAGGTATCAAGTATATATAGATTATACAAGCTATTAATTTCTTTTATAGAGTGTCTTAACATAAACAATTGCTCAGATTGAGCCGAGAGCAGTTGGCCACCAAACTGAAGAGAAACAAGAAGTGTGCGTGGGGGGAGGTTAAGCATTTAAGATATGCAACCATCTGTAGCATTTGCCTAGGACTGCCGACACATACTTTTAATAACAAGCCAGATTGCAAAAGGAAATCTCTTTTAAAATATACATACACAGATACTGAAATATATATTCACATAGTGCATCTGTAGCAGGGTATGAGGTAAGTGCCCTCGCCCTCCGTGTCAGAAATTTAAGAGAATGCGAGGGAGGAGTTGAAGAAACAAAGAAAGAAATCATGCAGAAGTAAGTGTGGCAGATGAGCATTGCTCTGGACTCCAACCCCCCAGCTCTGGCAGCAGAGGTGACGTCTCAGACGCACCAGCTGAAAAGAGTTCCTTGGTCAAGCAAGCTAGAATAGCATTTGAGGGTTTACTTGAAGCTTTCTGTATCTGCAGAGCTGACTGACCCCTCACTACTTACTTCTGTTTCATCACCGGTGTTGGAAGGAAAGACAGAACTTCCAAGGATGCTTTTTGTCCATAAGGCAGGATGAATGTAAGGCCTGTGACGCACACTGAAGAGGGACCTCCATTCTAAGACATGCCTGGGGAACACCGCCTGAGGGAGGCTGCTATGGCCTATCCCGGCGCTATCTCCTAGAAGAAGTTATAAGATTAGAACAACGCTTCCGTGGGATCTGGATATTTAAGGGCCAGATGACAATCCCAAGCAGAGCCCAGCATTTCGCAGTATTTGTTTGAGACGTTATCACACAGAGGCCCAATATAAATGTTTTATTTTGAAGTAAAAAGTGTGCACAAATAAAGGGAATGATTACACAACAACATTCAAGACCATATTCCATATGAAACAGAAAAATAGTAGTGACAATATTAACTAGCAGAGCACCCATAAGAACCCAACTCGTATACAAAGAGGAGGTTACTCCACATAAATACATTAGGCTTCTGATGCAGACACTTTCTCCGAAAGACAATGCCTACTGCACTGGACTGTTTACACCCAATGTCCCTTCTGAATATTTGTGACAGTTGCTATATACTTAACAATGAAAAAATAACTGTTAATATCATGGCACTTTGGAGAAAATTAAAGTTTAAAAATGGATTTACAGTCATTTAACACGTTTGTCACTTAGCAACATTCTTAATGGTTAGATATGTAAATAGAAAAAGTATCTTTTCTGTGACACCTATAAAAACAAAATTTAACCTTTGCTTTAAGCACAAAAGACAGTGTTTTACTCCATTACTCTTCTGTGATGAACAGCAGAAATCCCCTTCCTTACCTAGAGCCATTTTACTTAATACCCCACGTGATATTAAGCCACTGTAGAGACAAGGCTTTTCTTGTTTGCTTTAAATAACTTGCAAGTTTAATATCAATTAAGTCCTGATGTCTAAACTAGTCATGCGGGTGTAGAAGTCAGAGGCTAAACAATTAATCACAAGTTTAAAACTGCATGTAAGCAGTTCACTTGACGTGAACTAAATGTGCTGAAGTTATTAGCTGCTCTTTAAAAGGAGGTTTACTCCGATATTTTACATCTGCAAATATACAACTTGAGTTTAAGGGAACCTGATTTTTAACAGTGCGGAGGTACAAAGCTTCCCTGAAACTGAGGCCCCTCCAATCACAGCCCAGTTTTGAACACTCAGCCCGATATTGAAGAGTTTCCTATTCACGTTACAAAGAAAAAATATGAACTAAATACCATACCGTGACACTACTGTGTATTTGTGCAATCCCTCTCCTTGAAGCTAACATGTAAGCGAAAAAACATTCACCAGAAGGTTTGTGCTATGAATTTACAGTGTCGCCATACAAGGATTTTCAAGGAGAAGTCTTATTAAAAGTTTCAGTTTGCTAACTTGTGCTTACAATACTTAGATTTGCTTTCAGTAACACTTAACTTGCCTTACAGCTCTTAAATATATAACACAGATTCTTTTCTTCGATCTCTCTTAATCCCTTTTCCCCAAAATAATAAAAAAAAAGCGGTACATTTGGCATTTCTTCAGCCTAAGACGTTCAAAACTATTCCTTAAACATTAACAATAAGAATTATCTGTGCTGTATAGTACGCTGTTTACTAACATGAAATGTAAGAATCACAACCCCCAAAAGTCCTAGTTTGAACCATTCTTTCAATTTATTCCAATTGCTATACTATTAACTTTGAATCGACTACCAACATTTAAGGTTTGATTGTGATTACAAATCACCATCTGTAAGCAGAGAAGTTAAGGGAGTCAATGTGGACAGCACCTATTTTTTCCTAGATGTGCTTTTTCCACTGGCAAAGTCAAATGCATTTCCAACAGTATGGCAATAAGATTAAAAAAAAGGAAACAATGCCCTTATTTTGGCCACAGCTGTAGTGTATGCAGTTCTGACACAGTTAAGACAGCAAGTGTAAAAGTAATAAATAATAGTATGAGGTTCTACATCTGTCAATATTAGCTGCCCATTACTGCTAAACTATACTCTACAGATGTTAACTTTAAGTATTAATTGAATTCCATTTATTTAAACTGACACTTTATGCCACGTACAACCCCCACTGAAAGGGACAGGCTCAGAAAGGCACTCTGCATATCAGTGTACAATTCCTAGTGTATCATTTCAGAGCAAAGTACATTGATCCTAATATTGAGTTAATCATCTCCTTTTGGATAGGATCAATATACCCTATGAAAGCAGCTATTCTTGACCCATTCAGTTTAAAAATCTGCTCTCCTTGCTGTCATTTCAATCTGAAGGGCAATAACGTAGCTCTAACTTCTAAGGCTAAGGAGAACAGGGAAATCAGATGTTTAGAGAGAAGGGTTTTAAAACTACAGCAGTCATAAGGTCTTACTAGCCTTGCTGGTAAAACAGAAGTCCTTTAGCGGTATTCTATTACATCTCCTAGTGCAATTTGTATTCTTAAAGCAATAAGAAAACTTTCATTTATCCGAACACTGTATTGAGAGATTATACAGCCAGATCCCATTGTTCAGTCAGGAGCCCCAGAGACCAACTTCTATACTAAAATTCTAGTTTGGCAAGACTGTTGGAAAGTTTGACATTTTAAATCTGGCAGCCAAAGGGTCAAGCATAACAACTGTCTTGCACAACAATTAATACAAAAAGAAAATTAGTAATTCACACTAGGTGGCAAGGGTAAGATGTTCAGTTACTTGTTTTATGCAAGTGCATCCAAATGAAGAGATGTTTATCCATGCAGAAACAGACAGAGTAACAATTGGCACAGTCCAGAAACGGAGAATTCAGACACATTCCTCAGCTGACATCAAAAGAGGATTTATATATTCAAAGCCTTCAAATTCAGACTGGTCAATCTTCTTCACAACATCACTATTAAGATTAAAAAACAATCATTAGTTCAGCAAAATTAAAGAGGTAACAATATTAACTGATAGCTTGTCTTAAAATTTAGACCCGTACAGCAGATTGCAGTTGCGAACACCTCCCTTCTCTCTTTTGTCCCTGTCTATCCTTACAGGTACCATTGTGGTTTTTTTTCTAGCCCCTAGAATGGTAACAGAATACAAAACCACCCAGGAGTAGTGACTGGGCTGCTCCCATACACATATTCTGTCCCACAAAGCAATCCGCAAGGTTTGCGGTTTTAAAACTTTCCCCAAACAGTCAGTTTTGTAAAAAACAAAACATAAGGATGAGACAGATGCTGCACTGGCATGAGCAACTTTTCTAAACTTTATTTGTAGGTTATGCATTTACAAAGGGATGAAGAAGGAAGATGGATCTCAGACCTAATTAAGGTGCACAGGTAACATTTAATAGTCACTGTTTGTGTTTGCATACTACATAAACGTTATACAAAACCCTAGAAAAATTCCTAAAACACAAACAGCAGTGGCTCAGTCAAACTAGAAAGGCCCTTCCCTCCTCATCCCAAATCAGGGCCCCTCAGGAGTAAGGAACCACAAATCCACTACCAAAACCAAACACATTTTATTAAGGCTTTTTGGCCAGGATAATCTCACCTGATTACTAACAATTTAAAATACCTGAACAAGCCAAACAAAGCATCTTCTCTTGTTCAGAACACCCGAGATAAATTCAATCTAAACCCAACATTCTAGAAGCATCATGGCTTCAAGTAATGCAAAAATAATTCACTTGACAAAACAGGTCTTTTCCTTCTCACATTTATTTCTTGCAGATGATACCACTAAAACCTGCAAAATAGCACTTATCTGTCTTTCCTTGAACTAAGATTCTTTATAGCAACTTTCCCACTGTTAATTTTTACATCATGCCAGACTACCATACTTAATCCAGCCATGTTAAGTCTACCATGAGGACACAAACTAGAATTTTCTCCAAACTAACACAAGAAAATGTTATTTACTGCTTTATGTATACTCTGTGTACTGCAATTACAGCTATTAAATGAAATTTTATAACTCCTTCACTGACTTATCAGAACTTCTTAAATTCTACATTACTTACTCATCATCTGGAGTGAGCTGCACAGGTTCATTGGTGAATTGCGAATCAAAGTTATCCAGACCAAATTCTCCAGATATATTTGGTTTAAACGGAGGCACCACTTGCTTTTGCTCCATCTAGGAATAAATGCACTTAGTGACACCAAGAATGAGTTACAACCTATTGAGTTATTTTTAAACAAGGTCGGAAGTTACTATTCAGTTTCTTTTGTATACTTTCTACAATCATTCTATTAATCTACTGTACTTACTGTGTATAAAAGGGTTAAAAGATTCTGTATTGTCATTACAGTACATCATAAGAGCTTAAGGCTTTTGCATTTTTTACATCTCACGCTCAGAGCAAGTTGTCAAGCCGTCACTGCATACAAGGAAAATAAGCCAAGCCAATGGGTATTCACATACCAGATCCCAATCAACATTGCGAAAGAAGGGATGTCCCTGGATATCTGCAAATCCTGTTTGAGGATGGCAGCCTAAACGTTCCTTTGGATCCTGTGCAAGGGAGAAAATATTTCTAAGTGAGTGCCATGGCCTACAAATGAATAAAATACAAATGTTACAAATCCCATCAGAAATGAAACGTCAGAGTTCAGAGGGACACTGAAGAACTAAGGTAGCATTATTTATTTGGGAAACTGTTCCAATTTACTGTCTGAAATAGCCATTAATATATGGAAGTCTTTAATGGAATTTTATATAAACAACTATGCCATCTTTCTTCATTTTTATTCGGACCTGTTTGAACATCCCATACGTTTCAGAGCAAACTTGGTTAGATTACAAATGAGTTTGATTCTTCCCCCCACCCGCCCCTCCTTGAGCAGACCGACCATGCCAGGCAATCACACTGGGGTAGTAACTGCAGGTTACTGAGAAATGCAGTAGAAAGAAGGTTATTTTAACAAGACAATTCCATCTCCATGTACACGTGTGCACACTTGCACGCACTAGCAAGGAGTTGTAACAGAATCAGCGTTCTTGAACAGTATTACTTTCTCAGAATAAATTAACCAAATCTGTTTCTCCCCACTCATCTAACACTCACTAAAGGCAGGCCAGCACACGCTCGGGCTAGTCCACTACCACATATGCACCTTTTGACTCTCAGGCTGGTTAGCTGCCAGCAAACAGCGTATGCTGCCTCTGCTTTTCCCTTGATGGAAGTCACCAGAAGTTGCCAAAGTGATTTGCTAACCATCTTGTCTTTAAGAACCCAAATAAATCTGATATTTGTCCAATTCCCCAGATTAAAGAAATCACTTGGAGCATTTCTATGCCTTTCAATTTGAAATTTACTCGTGATCCCAGCCTGAGAATCTGGAGCTTCAGGCTTTAAGACAAGTATCTAGAATAGGTCCCCCCGCCCCACTGAAATTCTGCTTTAGGCTCACACCTTTTCTACCCTGTTTCTGTAGATGGGAGATAAGTATGTCTGCTACACCTCAATTAGTCAACAGGCTTTAAGAAAAACAGCTGCTCTTGAGAAGTCTTAAATAGTCCCCTTCAGCTCTTACCTTATTGAGGAAACTCTTTAGAACACCTGCTGCTTTAACAGAAAGGGATCGGGGAATTCGTATCTGTTTTTCCAAAATTACTGCAAGAAAACAAGGCTCATATCAGCCTTTGCATCTTTAAAATTAGATTAAAGGTAAGTAGAAACAAAGCACTGAAGTACAGGAACACTCATGGTACTTACCTTGGAAAAGATAATCTTCTGTGTTCTGATCAGGATTGTCAGAACTCCCAACAATATCAAACGGTGACCGGCCCGCCATCATTTCAAACATAAGTACACCAAGTGCCCACCAATCTACACTGAAGCCTAGAATTCAAATGAGAAAACGCCACTGAAGATATTTTGGAGCAAAAATACCAACACTTTTGGGGCTAAAGACAGACATGTTTTGAGAAGAAAAGAATCAATTCAAAAAGTTAAGTATTACCAGTCTTTCTGATTATCTGAAGAAAGGAGAGGTAACAATTGTAGTAATTACTTGGTTCATAATGTGCACAGTAGGAGGGAATGTTGTACAAAGAAAAGGAAACGCAAGAAGTTTAAAGGTTGGTGTTAGGACCTTAATGAAAGTTTAGATAATATTTAAGCCTAGTCACTACCAACCAACAGGGAGGTGGTTATCCAGGGCGGGGGATAAGGATGAGGAGGAAATATGTGATTATTAGTAGTAGCAAGACAGTCTTCTATGGAGCTAAGCATATCTACACTACTATTCACTGCTAAAGAAAAAGAAAAATCCCAGTAGCTAGGCTGGGATTGATATAGTCTGGTTGGCCTAGAAAATTTGTGATGAGGAAGGAAGATGTGAAGCAAGTCTGATGGTAGATGGTAGATTTAAAAATAAAAACAAAATATTTTTTTTAAAATAGGAACTAACGGTAGAACTTGTTAAAATCTTAAGAGAATAAAACAGATCAAAGATCTGTTTGGCACAGTATGGGAATCTTAGGAAGAAAGGATAAGTAATAAATAGGAAACACAGCAAGCCTTCTATACTCTCTTACGTCTCTTGCTTCAGGAATCTTGTGGGTTTCCTGAACAATTAAATAGACAATTTCATTTTTAACACCGAGATTTGTGAAAGGGATGTCCAATATCTAAGCTTTTTGCAATGCCTTTATATTTAATACTATTGTTGCTGCCAAATGTAAAGCTCCAAAACTGAACACAATTCAAGACTGCAAGAATATAATTAGTAGTATCTAAAATAGTTATAAACAATAATAAATTTGGGAGACTCAAGCTATTCTTCAAGATCGATAAAAAGAATTTAAAGTGTGGAAGGCAAGGTATCTGATTTGCTTGGTGTGATGTTTTCTGCCTTTCCTTTGAAGAGTTTTTTTTACTTTTCCAGACAGGATGCTGAATTAAGACTGATCACATGTCTAAAGGAGTTTTATATTTTCTACTGCTAAACAACTCGAGTAAGAAGACACACTGTGAAAGTTATATGGTGGCAGTGAAAAAATTAAATTTACCATAATCCTCTCCCCGGAGAATTTCAGGTGCAATATAGTTTGGAGTCCCACAGAACGTGCTGGTTGTGTCACCAGGCCTCAGACCCTCCTTTAAGAAAAGATGGGAAGAAGATACTTTACAGTTAGCCAAAGATCCCACACTCCCCCTCTGCTACGAACTTCATTTTGAGTTAATTTAAGTGTCCTGAATAAACTGCTTTCGTTTCAGTAAAATTATACTTAAATCTGTACGTAAATGAATACAAAACACTACTTGCTTCAGAAAACACAGAAGTAGGTCGCATCTAGAGTCTCAAGAGGATGGCACATACCTATTGACAACATCTTTTTAGGTTTTGGTTAGTAAGTTCCACTACATCTCCAGCGATGGGCAAATGGGACTAACTGAGGCATGGTGGAACAGCGTGCATGACTAGGGTGTTGCAATGGACAGATACAAGCTTTTCAGAGAAAAGCATGGAATGCAGAATATGGGGGAGTTACTCAAAGAACTTGTACAGTCTTCATTCTTGAAAGTTTTCAAGACCAAACCGAATAAAGCCCTTGGTAACCTGGCCTAATCTTAGAGCTGCTTTGAGCAGGAAGGTTCGTTACATTTCCTAACACCCTTCCCAACATGTATGATTTTATGCTTTTCTGTTGCTTAGCAAAAATTGTAACACTTAAAATAGTTCTCATATATCAGCATAATGGCAATTCCACAGCAAAGTCAAACCTGTGCTCCAGTGTCTTTGTAGTGACAAAGTTTTTCTAGAGAAAATAGGAAACATCATAGAATCCAAACGGGAGGAAATGTGACTGACATATTTCAACCTTTTGCTCTTTTTGAAATCAAGCTATCTTGACTATTTCAGCATAGACCTCCCAGTCAAGCTGATACAGCAGCTTTATAAGAACATACATACATATATATATATGTATATATATATACACACACATACACACATATGTGTAAGAACAGAGATACACATATATGTAGTCTGTGCACTCTGGCATTTCTTTTTCTTTTCGCCATTTGTAGAAGCGAAATGAGTACCTGGCCTATCTGCACTGTCTATAAATGAATACCTTGAAATTTCACATTTTTAAGTTTCTGCATCTTTTAATTTATGACAATTTCTTAATTGATTTTACTCATTAGCAAGGAACTAGAGCTTACCTTGCACATGCCATAATCTGTGAGTTTAATATGCCCTTCAGAATCTAGTAGCACATTATCCAGTTTTAAATCTCTGTAGATTATCCCTCGTTCATGTAAATAGTTCAATGCTAGACTGATTTCAGCAGAATAAAACCTAGTGTAGAAAGAGATATTGATTACTCAAGTAATCAAAAACCCAAACCACAACAGCATAGTCTTGGTAGTATGATACTTTTCTAAATATAATCCCCTGTATTCTATTATTTTTCAGAGAAGTGGATAAGTTGTTTATAATCATATAAACATTTCTACCCACGGTCACCTCAAAAATTATTTTTAATTAATATTAATGTCTACTGAAATCACCCCTTTCATCTCACCATCTGAGATGAAGCATATGCACCAAGAGCTCAGCATTTGCCTGGACAGCTGGTAGTGGTTGTTGTAAGAGAAACACATTGATACCATTAGACAGTTAAAAAAAATACCACAAAAGTGGTTTTCTATATAAAAATTCAGAATCAGACTGAAGTCATCTAGGGTAATGCTAATACAAACAATACTTAAGTGCTTCCCATTACAGTTCCTCCTTGAAACAAAAATATGGTAGCTTGCAGCATTAAAATGAGAATGCAGTTTCACATTCCTTAAATCCTTAACATCTGGAGAGGATTTGCTAGCTCATCATCATAATCTCTGCACTACTGCACTGTGTCAGAAAACCAACTGCTTTGATGCAAGAAATCTGGAATTAGACATACCTGGCATGCTCCTCTGGCAGCTTTCTCTGTCTCTGCATATGAAACATTAGATCTCCTCCATTTACGTACTCTATAACAAAGAATAACCTGAAACACAGAGGAGTTTGTTATAAATTATTGTATACGAGGCTGAAAGAGGTTTGAGATATTACAGGTCTGTTATCAAACAATGTCAATTCAACTCCTTCCATCCCTGGTAATATGGCTGGTTTCACCATTTTCCCTCCCTTTGAATAAATTCCCAAAATTAAAAATCAAGTACATGAAATTTCTCTAGATAATTCCTTTATTGCTAAAGGAAAGTAAGTAATCCTTCCCACATTCCTAATCCATTACAGCTACTGCTTGTCATTGTTATGTATATGACTATATAAATAGATTCACATCAGTATCTATGCACAAACCAGAAAAAAAAGATTAATTTTTCTCATTTTCCTTCCTGATCCCTTTAGTCTCCTACTAGTATACTACAAATACTCTTTCTTTTCACTTCCCTCCACTAGCTTGTCACCTTAGCAAACAGCAAGGATGCTGTTTAAATATACAGCAACTATATTTTATATCTATACTGAAAATTATTACTGTATAGAATAGTAATTTATTCTTCTAATGCAATCTCTTCTGTATTACAAACACACAGGAAAATAATTTTTATCTCTATTACCCCGTTTCCCTTTTTAAAATTTAGATGCTGTTTTCTGAGACTTGCTCAGAGAGTCCATGCAAGTTTGAGATAAATTTCCTCATTTTTTGTGCTTCTGATTTCTCTTTCCTTAAACTCTTTTTTCCTCCCATTCTAGGTTCTGTCTTCTACTTCATATTCTTAAGCCCTTTTTTCCGCTAGCTGCACCTCTCCTCCCATCCAGGATCCTTCCCATCATACCTACCAGTACTTTACATTCTTTTGCATCTTCCCACGCTGAAAAGCTTCGATGATGAACATGGACTTTTTGCCCATAAAATGCTACAGTGATTTACAGTACACTGACTTTTGCTACCCACCTAACACTTAATGCTTTAAACAGGCCTCTGAAGTGCTTAACAGTATGAAATATTTTTTTAATAAGACTGTCTTCTTATTATCTTATGACCTTTACCTGCTTTCTGTCTGGAAGCAAGAGTGTAGTCCGACAAGAAAAGGATGATTTGAAGCCTGTTCAAAGACGTGTTTCTCTGTCTGAACCCAATCAATATCCTATTTATTTAAGAAAAACGACATTCAGAAAGGGATTGTTGCACTTCTTAGGTCAAGTATTAATGACAATAAGCAGAAAGATATTCATGTGTTTTGCCGTCCTAATTTTACTTCAAAGAAATTAAGTATTATATAGTTCTCCAATGTGAAGTAAGACAATTTAGCACAGCCTTTTTTTTTTTTTCCCTGTCTTGACTGTCCTGTACTTTTAGCCTCACTGTGTAACTACATTTGGGAATGAAAAACACTCATGTATAAAAGATAAACCGGTACAGACAAATGAAAAGTAGCATCAAGAAGCGCAGCAAAAAAAAAAAAAAAAAAAAAAAAAAAAAAATCAAAGGTACACCAAGAAATAAATGCAAAAGCTCTTGGATACCAAACTGCAGTTACTCGGAGTCTTTTCAGACCAGCCTAAAGAAACACAAAGTAAACCTTCAGCAACAAGAGGTGTTCAGCTGGTTTTTAGCAGGTTAATACTGCATTTCTGATTAGATTTTGCTAATCACTGTATACATTACAAATTGTTAAGACAGAAGTCCGATTTAAAGAGCAATTACAATAACATTGCGAGTTCTCCTTTGTGACAAAAAAACAAACTTGAAGATATGAAAACCAGACTCAACCCATTTCTTTTTCAGCCCAGCAAGCCAACATAGTCGGAGAAATATGGAACACTGTTTCAAAATAACGAAGCAAGCCAGGCTTATTAACTTGAATTCTACAGGGGCACTGCTGCAGACAGCGCTGATCACAAAAGGAGACACTGATAACAGAGGCAACGAGGCTCATGACAGAAACCACTGGCACAGGAGGGCGGCTCTGAGCTACCAGTCTGTCAATGAAGAGCTTAGAATTGGTTACGTGTCTTGTGAAGCTTCTGTAGTATAGGATGTATAAGAAACCGCATGTATAATTTTCAATTAGCGTTGCAGACCCAGAAGCCTGGCTCCCGCCTTGGGGTAGACACTGAAGCTCTTTGGAAAAGTTGCCCAATTTATTGATAAAAAGCTTGCTTACCTCATCATCATTGACGAGCTCTTTCTTCACCACTTTCATTGCATAAATGCGTTCAGTCTTCTTCAATCGAACAAGCAGTACTTTAGCATAACTGCCTCTTCCTATAACTCGGAGCAAATCGAAATCTTGAAGACCCAGACTGGAGGAAGCTTTGCCACTTTCTCTAATGCTCATTGCCTATTGATAAAGATACTTTGCAATCAGTAAGCAGGCTCGCCAATTTTAACAACCGCAAAGTTAGCATTTCAAATAGAACAGCAAAATTAATATAAACAAGTAATTCCATTAACACTTGTTATTCTTAAAACGGCACTGTCCTGGAAAGGAAAGCGAGGAGAAAGAAAGGAGGCAGAGGAGACTTGGCAGATAAGAAACAAATGAAACTGGTGGAGTTTGGAAAACTTTCTAAGTCAAAGAACATCTACAATTTTTAAATCAAAGTGTCTCTCAACCCAAGGTTCAAAATAAAACAGCTTGCAAGCCATACATGCATACACCTGAGCAAGCAAACCAAGTGTGCTTTATGTACTAGTTTTTAGCTTGTGACAAACTAAATTACTAAAATCTTGAAATTGAGAGACAAAGACTTTAAGATCTCTGAATATAGTTCGCATGGTTAAGACACTTTACCTCTTTTTCTTCACCAACATGGTCCAAGCTCTCATGACTTGAGGGATTGTACGGAATCACTAGAGGTGCAAGAAAAAAATGACTAGACCAACATGACACATTTTCTTTCGCCTTAAAATTTCCCCCACACAAGAGCTCAATCAGGGAGATACAAATAGATGCATTTAAATTGTTTAAGTCTTCAAAACTGGTGGGTTTGGTTTAGTTTTTTTGGTGGTTTGTTTGTTGGTTGTTGTTTGGGTTTTTTTTTACCATCAGTATCCTTCTTTTGCAATAGTACATTTCTAATCAGTTACGGCTAGTATAAAACCCTGTAATTATATTTGGAGATCTCTTCAGATTAATCTTGACTCCACACACAGAGAATCTTGTGCAGAACTGTGGTTTGTTTGGTTTTTAAACTGATTGTTGTCTATATCAAAATTCAAATATTAGGACCATCACTCTGATTGCTACAAGAATGAGCTTGTTTGGCTACTGACCCAGTAAAAACTCTGCTAATCCTGTTAAGGGTTTTTTTTGTTTGATTGATCAGGGCATTTAAAGTACACAGCTTATGACAAAAAAAATGTAACTGACAGCCTAAATTCTTCCTTTTTAGCAAAGTTTCTGAAACTGGTAAGATATGGAAAACTGAGGAATTTTTATATTTATACCCCCCTTAGCATTAAGAAGACGTCTTATTTTTCTCATTCTATGAACAAAAGTAAAGAAGGGTTTTTTAAATAATTTACCTAAAAGTATTCTGTTTCGTTTTAAAACCCAAAGTTCATGTTTCAGCAACTTAAAATAATTTAAAGTAAAAAATTATTGATCTTACCTGATTCTACATTATCTGGATGCACTGATGATGGATCCATAGGCATTATTGGTTCCTGCAAATAGGTACAGGATTTTTGTAATAGACTGTCCAAATGTGAGAGACATTATTTTAGAGACAATAAATGAAATAAGTGATCACTGAGGAATATAACCTAGCTATTTTTTAACTTGATTAGTCAACATAGTTGCTGCTCTAATCCATACACAATAAAAGAAGCCACTGCAGTCCTTATTTTACGTATTTTCCAGAAGTTATGATATGTTTCCAAAAGCTGTTGAAGTGACAGTACAACAGAAAGAAGTATAGCAGATGAGAAATGTGAGAAAAGCTCCAATACTTCAGCAATACATATATTAGTCAAATTAATTCACAAAACGTATATTTAGAGCTGTCCACTTTTAATATTAAAGTAGGAGCAGTAATCATCTAAATTTTTGGGGGGACTTAAGAAATAAAAATAATTGAATTTCTTGGGAGAAAAGTCAAAACTTCTGCAGTTCATCTTCCTTTTCTGTAAAATGGAAATAGTCTAATAAGTAACAGATGTTTAGAGAATTTATTTTACCTGTAACTCACTTCAAAGATGCAAAATAAAGGACGAGATAAATATCACTTATATGCTCATATTTGACACAGGAAAAAATCTCAGATATGAAAGTTAAGACTCCCATCTCGCCACTAAATTGCCACAAACTAAGTGATTCCCAAACTTTGTTGCAAAGTGTCACAGTAAGCATAAAGAACGATGTTTCATCTACTGTGACTATTTGCAGACTGTAGTTAGGACTAAATGGACTTTTTTGTTTGATTTGTCAGTTTTTTAAAGACAACTTCTCAGAGAAGTTTTACTTACTGGTTGTAGTGTATGACGGCCACATTCAATACTGACAAGTTTGTGACACTTCTTGTGAACAAGGAGTTTGCAATTGATGCATTTATATCCTTGGCGACCCAGGCCCCATATTCGGTCAGTGCAGATGGCACAATGAGCTCTCTAGAATGACAAATCAATAAAACTGATTAAAGAGCAAAACTAAACAATAAAAACTATTCCACCACATTTTCATTAACAAAGAACATAGGACAGGAGATCAGAGAGATCCCTACTGAATTGCCGCTATACCAAGACTCTCTATCTGGAAAGTTTAAGAACGAACAGGCAGATACAATACAGAGGAGCTCAAAAATTACAACAGAGCAGCAACTGCCATACAGAAAGTCTGCATCTACACGGAAAGGTGCAGGCACAGCCAGCCGAGCTAGAGTGACATAAGCCAACTCCAGGTCAAAGGCACGGCAGCTGAATCAGCAGGCTGCTGTGACCAAGCCGATTTGCTACGTGTCTCATCATCTCTCTGTGTAGAGCAGTCCTTACATTTGTAGGGAGGAAGGCAGGGAGCAAAAGCTTCAACACATTAAACCACTAGATAACAGGAAATGGGAAGATCACCAGTCACTGAAGGACATTCACAAAACAACTCAAAAGAACCATGAAAACGGGGTGCCTACAAAAGCAAGAGTGGAAGGTGATTAAACTATGGTGCCTTGACAGCCTTTGACCAGGAAGAGGTCAAAGAAAAAAAGAAAAAAAAGGCCAAAAAAAAGCACAGAAGTTAGATATGAAGGATGCTCAAGATGAAGTTTAGTGGAGACAATTTCAAGCATTAAGCACAGAATACACTAAGCTTAGAAAAGAAGGAAAGATGATTGAAGCTGTCAAGGAACCTGGCTTACTCAAATATTTTGGGTTCCGTTTTTGCTGTTGCTTTTTCTAAATACAGCAGATAGCCTTCTTGGTCCTTAGCTAATTATATTTGACCATTGCTTCTTGAAAATATTACAAATGGTTTGTTATTTTCAGTTGATTACATGCCATAATAAGTAGGCTGTTTGGACAAAGATCTCAGTTTTTCATTTAAAAGTCATGAAAGAAAAGGCTGTGCATCGTAAGCGAGTTCAGACCTTTTTACTCCCACAATTTAAAGAACTGAAAACGCGCTTTCAGCTCAGTCACCCAATGCCAGTGTTCAAGTTTGCCCTCTGGGAAGATTTTAAGGGAACACAGGAGCATTTATATAATCCATATTATGGTTTCAGAGTACACGTAAAGTGAATTGCAACCAATTTATTTTTTTTCCCCTATGTTCCTGATAATTTAGTAATGATTAAGTTTCCCGAAACTACAGGGTTACCAAAAGACTACGTGCTATAGACAAACAACAAAAATGAGAATAAAACTACCTTGTAATTTTTCAAGGCAGTAACATTGTAATTACAAAAGTAAGACATCCCTGTATCATGGTTTTAATTACCCAACAAGAGTCTCACCCTGTTAAATCGTTTGGCTTGGAAAGTGTGACCATTTGCACAATAGAGCTTTCGCCACCGGCGGGCGCCTCGGCGATAAATGGATTCTAAGAGGAAAAACATACAATTATATCCATAAAAAAATATAAACACAGAACTACAACATCTTCTCATGGACGTTTCTGTGTAGAGTGATTTGAGAGTAAAGTTTCATTCCTGCACCTTACGGAAACACAGAGTAATGTTCCAAGTATCTTTTTTATTTTTTAATTTTGGAGAAAATTTGAACTAGAATATTTTGATCAACTCAAAGTTAATTCTGCTTTTCCAAAGTTAAAAGGAACAGTGAATCAAGAGAAGGAAAACTGCCCAACAATACAAACACTTGTGTGCGATGTACGCACCTACCTTACCTAAACTTGGGGAGGAACTGTGATGAAAGGGAAGGAGGAGAGAAGGTGATTTCAGGACCATGCCCTAATTTGTAAGACTGCACAAATCCTCCAGTGTTTTAGGTCCACAGCTGCCACTGCTTGTTTTTTTTTAATTTTTATTACTATAGGCATGTTGGGAACCAAACTGAAAACCGGAATATACAGAACTACACTGAGTTGCAAATTATTTCTGATTCAGTCTGCAACCTCATTTTTTCAGAAAGGCATTATCCAAACTGCCAGAGTTAACTCTTAAGCATGCACATTTACATTTGTTAGAGACTTGGATATCAATCTGACAGATGTGTGTGTCCATAACACACACATGTTCTTTTATAAAACTTTAAGACAGAAGGAAAATTACCTCTTTAATGTCTAGTACATTAGCTAATGTAACTGAAGAGATTTTCAGAGAATACTCCTGATAGTGCCTAAACATCAATTTAAAATGAATTAACCACAGATCTCTAAATAGTGATACAACAAGTCGTTACCATTGGTTACAAGCCTTTGTCACATTAGTGAGCCAGCAATCAGCCAGCAACTACCAAAAAGACAGGAACAGGATAAAAAACTGTCACAATAGAATAGGCAAAAGCAAGGAAAGCAGAGTGACATGGATAATTAACAGGAATGTGAAATGCTTATTAACAATGATTCGGAAGTGACAAACAACATTTAAGTTCAGTAAGACTTCCTTTAAAATATTTAATTTATAGAGATCTGCATTATTAATATTCATAAGTGCAGGATGCCAAACCATAGAGTATCAAAATCTTCTAAAAAAGGAAATCTGAATTCCTGATTTTCTGTACTTCCTAAGTAAAATGCCTACTTACTATCTTCTCCTGGACAAGGCATGCCAGGCCGTTCTGGTACACAAGGAAATACTGCAAGATAAAAACATTACCTTCTGATTAATTTTTGTTTTGGACGGAAAATAAATCTTTGGGTTAAATACAACACTTCTGAAAGGCACTCAGCCATTTAGGAAGACAGCACAGACAGCATTTGAACAAAACTTTGTGCCAACAGCAGGCGAGCCGAAAAGCTGCCACAAACCCCTTTTGCTGGACATATGCATGAAAAATACGAGCAAAAAGCAGACTAAACAAAGTTATTTCCTAAAGAAATTAACTAGAAAAAGGTAATGATTCTGGTTTCTCATATGACCAATCACCACAGTCAGTATTTGGAAATCTTGACTATATACATAGTATATTACAGCATCCTAACAGTCAGAGAGAAGCGTAACCGAGGACAGATAGCCCTGGTGCTCGTTTAATCAGAAGCTTATCAAACGCAAAAATAAATGGAGAAATGACAGATCAAAAAGCATACTGAAGTAATATATATAGAAACAGTAAAATATGTATAGAAAGAGATTACATTCTTCTTTCACTTTTTAAAAAGTCTTTGTGGGAAGCTGAAAAGCTGTCCCTTCCCAATGAGCTGATGCTGAGCTAGATTTTTTGCACCCTTTTAGAGAAGGGCCACGTTAAGACACTGTAGTGCAACACACCCACTAACACTCTTTACAATGATCCCCTGCTTTTCTGATATAATCTCTGTTAAACTGCAATCTACCTTTAATTTTTTACAAGTTACAAACAGTAATAAGAATATACTGCTGAAGCTACCAAAGCAGGCATATAACCCTGAAAAATAAAAATTGAGCAATTACACATCAAGCAGGGGCATGATATTATTAGGTTCAAAACTGTTCTCAAACACTTAATTTTAGAAAAGTGAAACTTTTGACTAATCTGGCATCACAAATGGAGCTCATCAACTTTCCTCCCCCCCAATATAGATACTGCTCTAAAGTACTTAATAACACTGTACTATATATCTTCTATCATTCGTTGCCAACAAGCGTACAAAAGCATTTGCGATGAACGAATGAAAGAGACAGGCTGTCTTTCATTAATAAACTAACAGCAAAGTATTTTTTTCCTCCGTTAATTTAATAAAGAACACTGACAAAACGCTAACAGCTAAAAAGGGCAGTCCATGTGGTCTTCAGCATCTTCTCGACAGAAGGCCACAAGAGGCTTTAAATGAGGAGACTGGAATAGTGCAAAAGACACAGATAACACAAGGTAAAAACTCTGCTTCTTCACAGGTAAATTTCACCATACCATGAATTAGAAGCTCTGAATCCTTGTTTAGTTCATACAACCGAAAGGCCTCTTCTAACTCCAGCTGAGAAGAAACAGTACATGGATCTCCTGTAGAAAGAAAGGAGAACAATTCAAAACTCAATCCAATTAGCTCTGTGCCAATCAACAGATCCCTCAACAGTCACTTCTAAGATAATTACTGTAGCAAAACAGAACAATATTCTCAAGTGTAGTAGTATTTATTTTTAACACTGTTCAGAGAGTACATCTGAAAATACAGTCATATTGAATGCCTTCAGGGAAAATAAAAATATGAGGTATTCCCAAGAGGCAAGCAGATCATAATCACAAAACATCAGTGATTTGGACTGCTACAAGCATGGTTACACATCATTTCAGTACAAGAAGTGCAGGGTATCTTCCCGCACCTAAAATTCTTCTGAGATTCCATTTTATTTAATGGACTTTTAATTAGAATAGAGTCAATTCTATTTTCACAGCTGCTTCAACATTGCCAGACTTTAACTAGGAGGTGTAAAAGCAGTTAGACCTCATCTTTCCTCAAACCTCAAGCAAGACATTGGAAAAATCCTGTAACCTAAGTGAAAACATCCCATTTTTCTGATTTTTAACTACTACTTTCATGCTCACAGGACTATTTGAATTAAAATCCCTTAAAGAAAGGGCACTGAAGCAGGAAAAAGAGTGTGGGTTGGTTGTTTCATTTGTTTGTTTTTGGTGGTTTGGGTGGTTTTTTTATAGAACAATTGCAGCTTTTGTTTCCGTCTCCATTTGAGATGGAGCAGATTAAAACATATACCAAATGCTGGTATGATAAATTTTCTCTGACAGAACTGCGTTGGATTGCTTTAACAAATCTGTGTTTCATAAGTAACAGTTTAGGACTATCTAAGGTCTCTTTATATTTCTAAAATAACAATATGTATCCACAAAGGTATTTCAGAATCATTAATAAACACTTAATTACATCAGGGCAATTTTGGCATATAGGTAGGTTTAAACCAAGGGACAGGGGTGGGTGAGGAACAAAGGACATCATGCTAAAGATCTGCTGTACTCAGAATGAGGAGCAAGGAGGACCTTAAATTCCAGGCTTGGTTCATACTTTGGACACAGCCTGTAATTAACTGTTTCTCATGATTCACCTTAAAACTTTATCTGATATTTTAACTGACCTCCTGTGTTCATCAGTGTTTGGAAACTGCTATAAAGACTGAAAAGAACAGCCATGCAACAAGATGTTTTCTTCGGTGTCTCATGCCAATTAGTAATGTTATAAAAAAAAAAAATGATCCCCTTAAAAGAAGAAGCCTTGTTCAAAATAATACTACAACTGGAACATTTATAAAGAAATGTTGAAGCTGAATCATCACTGCCCCAAAGAAAGAAAATACTTCTGGTTATTCAGCTTTTCTTTTTTCCCCTCCACCTATACAAGATGTTCTGTGTGAGAACACAGGATTTCTCTGCCAGATTGTACTGCAGCACATGAGCAGAACAAGCTTCTTTCTAGCCAAAATCCCATACAAGTCTACTGCCATATAACATTTCCAATTTTTAACAGAAATACTACTTTCCATACCCTTAAGTAGTAAACTGCTTGTGAGCAACTGAATTGGAGGAAGGCAGAACAACTTCCATCTCAGCTGAACTGGATCCAATCTGAAAGTCTTACTGCTTTGAGTGTTCAGTCAATACTGTAGTTTGAAAGCTAACTAGCAACAGACTATTAACTATTTGCTTTTTTGTTTTGTACTACAAGATACCAAAATTAATACAGGCATTGCTGAGGCTTTCCAGTAGAACCCCATACCTAGTAGGCACGGGGATATTTAAAACTCACCCTACAAAAGTTTTTCAAGTTAGTTTGTTTTGTTTCCAATGTATCCATTCTTTTCTATTGCTAAAACATTAGTAATAAATGTAAACCATCCATTTGCAGCATTATGTCTTTATTCTTTTTGGCATGTCATAATCCTCAAAAGTATTCTTTGAAGCCAGCTGTAGTCATTTTTCACCGTACTGCCTCTCCCCTACAATTAGCCTATCTGGACATCAAACTGCCCACCCACTGCACAAACTCACACAGTGCGGACACGGGGGGAGGAGAAAGAACAACTGTATTTATTCAGACTCACTATGAGAATCAACAAACCTGTTTTTCTTCATTTGTTTCTGACACCTGTGCAAACAGTTCTGTGTTTCTTTTTGGCAGAAGAAAAGGAAGCTCTCAAGAACATACACCCTGCTTCAAACAGGAACGGGAGGTTTATAGACATTTGTGGGAAGCTTCAGAATTAAATCTGACTCACACATTAAGTTTTTATTGGTGATCACAACTTAGCTGACAATGGCAATAGTATGGAACTGATCCTCTCTAACACTGCTCTCAGACTCACAATTTCACTTTAAAATCTAAAGAGGGATAACAAGTCTTAACTCACAAAGTGTTTTTAGTGGTGACTAGGTACATAAAACAGGTGAGCTACAAATACTCTTTCAACAAGATCAGACTAGTAAGAATTTTGCAGCCATCTAAGGAAAGCTGAGATGAAGTGTCAGGAAAATGTTTACTTTTGAATTTTATAGCAAGAAACAACAGACTAAACACAAACACAAGGCTAGTTTCATCCTATAGTACATTTCACAAGACATAAGATGAACCGGCTGCATACAGATAAAACAGAAATTTGCCTAAAATCAAATCAAGTCTATTTTCCAGTTGAATCCAATCATTTTTTTAAGTGATTCCACTCAACTAAATTAGGTCTGCCCTTGTGTGCCATTACCTCTATGAAAGAGAAGCAATTATACAATATTCTCTGCATCTTGCAAAGGCTAAAAAGACATTTAGTAAATGACAAATAAAAATCTCAGTGACAAAGTAAATCCAGTTTAGTCGCATACTGACTAAATTGACCAGGTAAGTAGTGAAAAGATGCTCTGGATACCATATCTTGTCTGATACTACAAGAAGCATAGAGAGTAGTATAACAAGCATCAGTCCACTGTACACATTTCTTCATGCTACTATTAAAGAGCAAATAACAGTTTTAGTGAAGAGGATACGGTAAGGGAATTTTCCAAGAAAACAAATTATGAATTTCTAGAAAGAATACCAACTAGAAACACTAAAGGTTAGTGGAGAGGGGAAGAGAGGAGGGAGAGGTCTTGGTAAGAAGCCATGCATTTTAGATGCAAGAATTACTCACAATAAAGACAAGGGGATTTTTTTTTTTTTCACATGCACTCTTCGTCACCAGATTAACTTTCTCCTCTACTGACATTAAACTGGAAGTCAATGATTTAAGCAAATATGAATTGCTTGTGAAAATTGAATCCTATGTGAATACATGAAAAAAAATCAGTCTAACAACAGCACTACTTTTTTTGAAACTCATCTCTACAGAGCAGAAGTTGAGACAGAACTGTTCCTTCAAGTAAATCATTGAATGTACACAAAATTTTCTGCAAATGTTTCACTAAAAAGCTATGTACTTCTTACTATGACTGACTGTCCCTCTTCAGTGAGAAGTCTACTATCCTTGAGATAACAAAAAAAAAAAAAAAGAAAGAAAGAAAACCTGCTCAGATTCCCAAAACCACATAATCTTCAACACACCTCCCCAGAGAGCACTTCCAAAAATCAGCTTTGGTCCATGTTTAGCTTTAAGCTCTGAATAAACTGTCACTCACCCGATTTTGAACTGAAAGCTGTGAGAAGGGGAGGAAACAGTTCTATAAGCACCATTTACGCTAATCACTGCCTACAAATACTAATCACTGCCAACAAATCACTGCACATTATGGCCTTTTATGTATTGTATCAAGTACTTAGCATGCTAAAATAACTCAACAGCTACTTCAAAATTGAGACACCTCTGGTGTAGCTCAAATCTTATGGGTAGAATACACCAATTCCACAAAGAAAATAAGAACTACAAATCACCTTTTCAAAAATTACATACAGCTCAGAACTGGACTATATCAGTTAAGTAAGAGGGAGAACAGAAACTGAACTTTTTTCATCCAAGGTAAATTTTAACGTGGATAGTGTAAGCACTAGAGAGGACAAGAGTTCTCAGCCAAGGCTGTTACTACTACGCTTTGATGAAAAGCTACTTGGACAAGTAATTACTCTTTCAATAGTTAGAAAAAGTGTTACTGATAGTTATGTGTTGAGTTTGCTAAAGTAACAGCTGATACAAACACTCAAAATATAATGGCTTTGGTTACCCATACAACTCAATTATATATTAAACTGTATGGATACTGTAGATAAATACTGTAATTTCTATCATTTAAGGTCAGTTTAACTTTAAAAGATTTAAGACTTAAGGGGAACCATGAGCCTCTCCAGCTGTATAAAGAAATACTTTCCATTCCCTTCTTGAATTCATATTTTGATAATCACAGTTTTAATTTATTTATTTGATAAAAAAAATAAGGTCTCCACAGTAAATCGTTTGGAACAATGACCTTTCCATTAAGACACACTTACAAAGGCATTGGATAAGCACTATTTTTAGAGTCAGATTCACTATTTCTAAAAACATATTTATGAAGTATATTTTATAAGCTTATCTTATGAAGGCAGAGGGAAAGGAAAAGATGAAAGGGAGAGGAGAGCTAGACAGCTGAGGAATATATTGATTAAATATTTGTCATAAGATCAAGGACTAAGCATTGCCTTACCTTCTTCATCAATCCATTTCATGGTGAAAAGCTGTTCGTTGTCAAAGGAGCACATGTCTCGAACTTCATTGCACAGTCCCTCAAATGAGATGGAAGGTTCAAAATACGTTATCATGATGTCCCTGAGGAAGCGGAAAATAAATTTGAGAAATTATACTGCAATATGTAGCACTTGATCATCACTTCTAACGCCTTCCGTATACCACTAATATAAAAGCCATCCCCGCTGCAGCCCTGTAAAAGATATTAATGTTAGTAAACCATTAGCACGTAAGTTCCTTTCCTGTAGCAAAGTCAGGCTCCAAGAGATTTTCATTACCAACTACCTGACACTTAACCCTTCAGGTATCTGCTTAGGAAAAATTGAGATTTAAATGCCCTAATAACCATGAAGTGAGCTGCAACAGATATTAACCACACAGAGAAATTAGTTATATTATAACAGTGGAAACCAAAGAATTAAATGCTGGAAAAATTTTGAACAACATTATTAACGTATTGCTGGTTTTACCTCCTCTTCAACAGTTATTTTGTTAATAGATATCAAAACATTGTAAAGTATACGTCTTCTCCAGCTAAATTTTGATGGTGTAGATGTTACGTGAAATTAATTAAAAATATTAAACACGTATGCTATTGGATCAGGGGGATGTTCCAACTATTAAAAGTGCCTTTAAAAAACAGACCCATGATGCTTCATTGACATGATGAAGGCTGACAGAGAAACATATACTTAGAATGAAAATTTACCACTTTATTGTTATGCAGAATGGGTATTTCTGCTATAATTAAGATTAAGAGTTACTTAACCTGGTGTTTTAAATATGTTAACATAAAATGCTGACCCATTGTCTTGGTATTTACTGGGCCTTAAAGGGGAGCGGGTGACTCAGGGTTGCAGTCCTTTAAACAAAGGATTTCAGAAATACAGTTCAGAGGAAGGTGGAGGAAAAAATAAAATAAAATTAAAAAAAAAAAAAAAGAGGGCTGTTTACAAAACTAGTCTTCAAACATCTCCTATAAGCCCAATGTTTGAGCTATGAGACTAATCTTCCCAAAAAACCCTCAGCTAGTTGGGATTTGTTTCAATTGGTGCCAGCCACTAGCACTATTCGTGGGGGTGAAAAAATTAATTGAAGCAACAGAGAAAGTTTATATCTGGTCAAAATTCACATCAACTTACTTACCAGACTGAAGTGCACACATGCAGCGATCTAAACATCTTTAAATCATCTTGTGCACGGGCAGAGTGGTATCAAGAAGGTGACTTAACAGAAGATACGGTGGTCACTGAACCTGAACCACTTTCAGGAGTGGCAGAGAACACATGTGATAACCATGCTTGCCTGAGGCTCCTTTAAGTTCAGCAGCATGAATAAAATAAACCAGCAATTTCCAAGCACTCTAGAAGAACAGCTAGCCTACTTCTGGATTTGTGAGCGTGACTGTAGTTAGTTTAGTTTGGGGAAAGACTCCAGTAAATGTTTAGGATAGTGAAACAACATCTCTTCAATAATCTGAATAAAGCAGCCAAAAAGCTGCTACATTATTTGGTTGCAGAATTGCTCCTCTTCTTTCCACAGGAGACAAAATGCAAAACAAAAATAATATTTGAACCCCAGTATTTAGACACAGTACAGTTCTTTGGGGTAAACAGCTTCATTTGAAACCCCCAATTGCACCCATATCACAATGCTCTTAAATGTTCTCTCTGATACAAAGTTCTCCCTTTCCATCCTCTCTCAAAATGCACAAGCTGTGAACCCAATGCCAGCGTTTGGCTCTCTGAACTGAGGCAGATTTAACAGTGCATTATTGTTACAGACACACAGGCATCAAGCAAAGGGAAACCCACGAGGCTGCATTAGGAGGCAAAGTCTTAACCTGTATTTCCTGTTTGTCAGGGAAGGAAATAAGGCACTGCTCACTTAGCCACTTCACTGGTTTTGTGCTAAAGTTTACCATCCCTTCATTCATTCATATTTTAGGGCAGACAGACTCCCTCCGGAATATTTTCTTATACAAAAAGTTAAGTTCTGAAGGGCACTGAGAAGTCAGAGTATTTCAACTATAGCAGTTTATTGCGTGATTGAGCTAGTCAGTAACGGGAGAGGGTATGTAAAAAGAAGTGGTGACTACATGACTACTATTGTCAGACAAGCAAAAAGAGGTAGGTGATAGACCACAGTCTCAGGAGACTGTTAACATTGATGCTCTAGTGAAAACTGAATATTTAAAAAAATAATAAATGTATTAGTCAAAACTGTTCAGCAGTCTTCAAGAAGTAACTTTTCCTCGGGCCCCAGTTAAAATATGTTTTTCTGTACTACAGTGAACAGAAAAAGTCACAATGTTAAGATGTACTGAACAGCCCAGGAATCCCTCTGTACCTATAAAGTAAAAGCTGGAATCAACTGATAAAAACCCCACTCTTTCTACTTGTTGCTACGTTTAAGTAGCAAAATAGTTGCCCTTCAAAGACAAGAAGAGTTAAATTATTTCAGAATTTAAGCAAGTTCTCTAAAGTACTACTCTAATACGTCCAACAGGACGTACATCAGACAATAAAGTACACTTGGAAGATCTCACGGTCCGTTATAGCAAACACTAATCAGTCTTTCAGAGAACCCTATCTAATATCAATACAAAAAAACCCCACACAAACTACGTAAAGTATGAATAAGGTTCTACAAGCAACACCTAGCACACTTTTCCTAGAGATGTGAAGCTTTACGTAACACAGAAAAGGAAAGATTACAGGTCCTTCTACAAGCTTTATTTTGCCATTTTAACTATAGAGACGACACTGACATTTTCTACTGAAACGGGTCTCACTTCCACAGTGGTTCTGTTATTACACCTTGGCATTATGTGGTGCTTTCCACACTTCTTGCAGCTAACACCACATTGATGATGTCTTCATCAGGAAAAAGCTGTGCTGCTCAGTAGAGAGACATAAAGTTAAACTCTACTGAGAAGAAATTTGACATTTTAAACAAAAAATAGTAGGCTAAGTTAAAGAAAAAGGAAAGTTAATGCAGACCATAGCCTGCTGCCTTGCATGAAAAAATAAAAAACGCTTTCTTTCACTAAGATATGGGAAAAAAAATTCTTGACCATAGTCCTTTCCTTCTGATGAAGGTAAGCTTATGCACTGCTTTTAATCAGCATGTTTGTTATAAAGCTATTCTAAGGCATAATATCCTTATTTGTCTCCTCATAGGGCACACAGGGAATTAGAAGAAAAACTGATTCAAGCACTCCCTTTGCACCACCACATTTGGATGCGTCAATTAACTCTATTAACGACAGAAGCACCATTTTTTTTAGAATTTCTTTTAGTACTATTCTAATAGGTCTTTGTCAGGGACCTGCAAGTAGGAAACATGCAAATAAAGAAGAGAGTACTTATTCATCCTGAATTACTTTCAGTAAAAATGTTGTCATTTATATCTTCCACAAGTATTAATAAAGGAACATTCTATTCACAGTAATAAAAGGCCTGCCTGAATCAATACCCCGCAAATGTAAGAATCAGTAAAAGATAAGCCATAGGAGAACAGGGAAAATGCAAATGATAAATCTAAACACAAATGCTAGAAAACAGCTTTTAAATATCTCTAGAAGATCATGAACCTCATCACTATCTTCCCCACCTTTCCTCCGAGATCTAACAGCTTTTCTCATGCATTTTCTTTTACAGATCAACCAACAGTCATAACATCCTTTAACAAAAAAAAAACCAAACAAAAAAACCAAACACCACCCACAACCAAATAAACAAAACACAAAACCCCAAAGCCAACAGTTAAATGCAATTTAATATTTGTATCTCATTTTTCACTTCTGAGCTTAAACTTCCACGAGAGAACAATCCACTGTAGGAACAAATACACCGCTTTAGATTTTTCCACCTGCAGCCTAATACAGCTATCACATATTATGTATGTGAAAATATACAGACACATAATCACATATTATCTACATATCCGCATATTTATCACACACGTGGGTCAGTCGTTAAAGCTTTTGATAATGCCTTATTACAGCTCACTGAAATTAACCCATACAAGACTCCCGAGGAATTCTGCTGTTTCAGTATCATTTCAGGAACGCAAGGTGCAGGCACTGCCATTCAGAACAATTTGAAGCATCTCTTTCTCCAGTGGGAGTCCGAGGTCTCAAATTGCAAACTCCTGCAATCTATTTTTTCTGGGGGAAAAAAAAAAAAAAAAAAAGTACCACCGGAATATGAACGAATCTTGAAACTGCAAAAAGGGGTAAAAATGCGTTCACAGGCTTAAACCAAAGTTTTCTTAAGCTGAACACTTCCTATGCGGAACTTGATCCTTAAACAGATGATGAAAGACATTGAGCTGAAGAATTGACAGCAAAGTGCTCCAAGACAAAGGGCAGTACAAGGAAAGGATGCAAGAACTCAAAAATTCTTAAGAAATTATTTTCCTGGAAATACTTACGAAGGTATATTTTGATTTTACAATTAAAATGGAACTTACACACACACACTTTTCCCACTCACATAAACGTATTAAAATCAAGAAAAGAAGCAAGTTTAACATGTATCATGGGAGGACTGTCTGGAGTATTCTTCATTTGAACCAAATCAAACTGAAGGTGGACAAAGCATCAGTAATCGATACCCTTTAGTGTATTAGAAGTCTAACCTACATTACAGCCTACACAGTTAAAACAGTACTAAATCTGTCAGGCACTGAAAGAACACAAGCTAGTAGTTCTAATCGTGACAGAAAAATGATTCTTCAAGTTTGTTATTTGGTTGGTTTTGTTTCTTTTTTTTAAATCATCATCATTAATTCTACAGGATTCCTAGTGCACAAGCAGTGTATTATTCCTACCTGCTCTCTACTGCTACAATAAAATCCTCCCCATATGTATTAATGATATAATAACTTCTTGTGTCGAACTGACAGAAAGGAACAAATGAGATAAGACAAAAGGTAAACTTTGAATAATATTAGAAAGCCGAAGTGGTTGTAATTACAGATGCTGTTCAGTGCCACTCATTTGAAGGTGCTACACTTTGTTACTGTATCAACAGGTACGTATGTAAACATTTGGTATAACAAATTAAAT